GAGGAGAAAGGTAACAACGGTCCGGAAGTCAAGTCGTCTAACCTTGGAATATTGAGGATCTTCAGGGTTCAAGTCTAAGAAAACTCCATCCACAACCTTAATATCTAAGTCCAGGTGAAGTCAAATGGGTTATCAATATGTTAACGCTACGACAGCAAAGATTCAGAGACCGGCATTCCTCGTTAGATTGCCGTAGTTCCACTCTTTTCAACAAGGAAAAAGAGAATAGACAGAAAGTAAACAAAAAGACTAAGGAAGAAGGATACTAGAAGTACCAGAAAGTCCGATCGTCTCTTTTAAACGTCGGACCCTTTCTTCATTCAGCTCACATGCTATGACATTTCCCTTTTTCCTCTCATTAGAGCTGAAGGGTGTACAGTTTTGTTTCCAGGAGCCAAGCTCGCATAAAGAACCTTCAAAGGAAATCAGAGTTTAAAGGTGGTGTAAACTGTTGTACAATCTCAAAATCGAAACTTCAATACATTATGCAGAATAATAACAGCAACCGAAGTGCAAAATTACTAACGAACGATGTACAAACTGTACCGACCTCCCATCCTGGTTTTGGAGCGAGGGCTGCGGCCACCATAGAGCTTGCCTTTCCCCGTTAAACAAATGATAAAACCATAAATCACAGATAAAAGATAAATGGATCCTTCACGGTTTAGACAATTTTTCTACATCACAAAGCCATCGTTGTCATAAGGCAACATCAAGGTTGGTTGAAATTTTACAAGTACTAATAGCAAATATCATGATAATTCTTACTTGCATAACAATACTTCCATCCATTACTAGAGGATGATCACGAAGATCACTACCCGGTGGAAGAACCAACAAATCAGGTACCAAGTCATCCTTTTGAACCTATTGAAGAAATCCAAAAGGAAAAAGAAAAAAAAAAAAGCGTCTTAGTAACAAGATGAAGCGGGAGCAGCCTCTCCATAAATGGGGGTAAGGCTAGCCGACATTCACCTCTCCCAGACCCTGCCAGTGGCGGATCCAGGAATCTTACCCCAAGGGGTCGCAGTGTAAAAGTTCAATAAGGATAGCGCGCGTAGCGCGAAAATTTTTTTTAACAGAAACGGCATGCATATCGTCATTTCATTGGGATAGCGCGACTAGCTACTCCAAAATCCTTGTTCAAAGGTCCTGAACGTACAAAAAAAATATCTAACAAGTCTAAAATTTAGAAACACATTAAGCATATATGTCATATAACTTAAGATATTTTGAATAATTATATCTAATTTTTCAAAAATAAAAATAAAAATCTCATGTAATGAATTGGATGGTTTCATAATAAAAAAACTAGAAAGCAATGCCAGACATCCCCAAACTACGTACATTGCTATCATCAAAGAAATCCCCTAACCAAACACACGTGGCTTAACGCGCTTAACGTGCTGTCAAGTTATATGGGTGGCTTACATTTGTAAATGTCTGGCATTGCTTTGATGATAGCAATGCAAACACCTCCAACGGTCAGAAAAGCATTGCAAACACCTTCCATCACTCACATTAGCAAGAGACTCACAAACAGAGACCATATTTTATTCTTTTTTATTCTTTGCTTTTCCCCATCTTGAATATAAAAATTTAAACCTGGGTATTGACAGCCCATTTTTCCTTTTTGAAAACGTCAACTTAATGCTAGCTCTCCAAATGTGATTGGACAAAATTATAAAATAAATTTTATGGGAAAGTTTGAGATGGTCACGTGAGAAGGAAAGGATGAGAGAGAAACTCATCTTCTTCCTCCTTTCGCAAGAACAGAACCTGAAAAACTTAGAAATTCCAGAACACTGCACTCGTTTTGCCCAGGTTGCTTTTAAAAAAAAACAGGCGCACAGCGCCTTCTCCTTCGTCTTCGTTTTGCCCAGCCGCTGAGGAGCCTTTCGTCGAACAGTTGGTGTGCAGCCAAGGGGTCGCACCAGTCAGCTCCAAGGGGTCGTTCCACCATCTCCAAGGGGTCTCTAAGGTAGTTTCCATGGCTTCCAAGGGGTCGTGTGACCCCATTGACCCCACTGTGGATCCGCCCTGGACCCTGCGTAAAGCGGGAGCCTTGTGCACTGGGTACGACCTTTTTAGTAACAAGATGAAGGAACTGCAGAATGCGGACACACCACAAAACATACAATTCAATGTTCGAATTTTGGTCTCTACAACACAATCACTTGTTATTAGGTTACCAACAATTGACAGGAAACATCCTAGTTGGGCATTTGAACATAATTCTAACAAAAACTTTAATGATAAAGTCCGAGAAAATACCTTAAATTGCTTCTCTAATTCAAGTAAGGCGGAGTATTTACTCGAACATAACGAGGTATTGAACTATCTGCAACCAGAAATTAGTGTCCAAAAGGGCAACACCGATCCACATCCTTACAGTTTAAATTTCCCTTGGATTTTATGAACTGAATGTTGCAAAGCAAAGTACTTTGTTTCCACAACTTCCACGCTAATAGTATAAAACTGAAGAGCTGGAACAACAGGATGAAACTAATAACACTGTAAAATCACACACCAGGAATTTCATGAAGAATTATCAAGTCTTCAACTTTCTTCACTTATTTCTTCACCAAAAGGCCAGCCAAACCGGACTGCAGAGCTTCTTGGCGACGCATGAGATACTTCTCCGCATCACCAGCTGCCGATGAACTCACCTGTACGTATTCAAATTCACAGTTCATATAAAAAATTCACAGTTCGCCGCTTCCCTCCTGAAGAAGTAAGCCGACCTCTCCATGTTTAAACTACGCCGATTTTCCGACTTGTCGGCGGCTGCAGGCGGCGGGGCCGCTTTGTGCTTTAGGCGCGCCATCGCTCACGGTAAGAGCAGAAAGGGCGGCAAGAAAGCACAGCATATATGCAACTCTTCCACAAACGTCATCGCTGATTAGAAAGGGTAAACTTGTAATAAAATCTAGGAAAATTGGGCTTACTAGTTCTTTTACAAGCCCACGAATTCAGTATTATCGTAGACACGGAAGCTAAAATGCGAATTTTTTTAGCTCTCAGAGGATTGTTTGCTGTGGCGAAACCACCAACTGATTTCTTTATAGCTAAGGCCTTTAACAGCGTATTTTAGGATGACTCCTTAGGCACCTTCACATCTACACCTACCTATAACCATGGATTTAAATATCGATATTATCGGCGAAATATCGCCGATAATATCGATTTTTCGGGGAATGGATATTTAAATAGGTATCCGTGTGGTTTTCGTCCAAATATCGCGATATTATCGAAAATATCGAAAATATCGCGATATTATCGATATTATCGCGATATTCGTCGTCGTCGCCGCCGCCGGGAGGTGAGAAAGGGAGGAGGAAACCACAGGTGGTGGGTACGAGCTGAACAACAACAAAATCACGTCCCCCGGGGTGTAGAGAGATCGTAAAAAGGCCCCAAGCAACTCGGCGGAGTTGCAGAGAAGAGATGGGGGGGGGGAGGTGGTGATGGTGCTCGGCGGAGTTGCAGAGAAGAGATGGGAGGGAGAACCGGAGAAGGATCGAGTTCGAGAGACTGAGGGAGAAGAAGAAGGATGGAGAGATTGAGGGAAGGATCCAGATCGAGATCGAGATTCGAGAGAGACTGAGGTGATGAGGTGACCCAGCATATTGGACGGACTACGGAGAGACCGGACCGAGGGAGAGAAGGAGACGGAGAGACCGAGGGAGAGACGGAGACGGAAGGCTCTGTGTTCTCTGCTTGTTGCGTGTGCGTGTGAAGGAGACGGAGAGACCGAGGGAGAGAAGGAGAGTGATGTGGGCAAGAGAGAGAGAGAGACAATGATAGAAATTTTTGTGGTGTGGGTGCGTTTAGGGAAGAGAGAAAGATGAGTGGATGTCCCGTGCTTTTGTTGGTAAAGCAACTCTTAATTAATACATTCATCTTTTTAATGCCGCCGGTTAACAAAAAAAAATGTTTTCAACTTTTTTTCGAACTACATTATTATTCGAATTTGATATTGGGGGTGAGGTGCCATATTTATTGGACCGTTTTCATATTGGGGGGGGAGGTCACCTTCCATGGTTGATATATGTACACCATGCAATTTCTTTCATGGCAAGTCTTTGAGAACTAATAAAATACTAATATAATTGTGTTTTTTTTTTTCGGAAACTAATATAATTTTGTCTTTAAAACACCAAGGGGATTCGAACCCTTCCCATTTTACTCCTTCAACACCTTGACCACTATATCACTTATGTTTTTGTGAAAATATGCTAAAATACAGCTACTCTACACGTAAAGATGATGAAGATAGTGAAAATTTTGAACCTCATAGGAACTCTATGTGGTACTAAGTCACTCATGTATCTTACCATGCAATGTATAAAGTGTAAAATATTGTACTAATTCATTATATATAAATGATTATGGTGTGTTTAGACTTTTTTCATTAATTACTACATATTTTCTACACTCACAATATTTGTTAGCTCGCTATATAATCAACTTGATAATGTTAAATCCATCATGCAATGCATTTCCTTCTAATTTTTTGTGATAAACTAATAGATAATTGACTAAATAAACATCCTGCAAAGTTTCAATAAAAATTTCCAAGTTTTTCTTACAATTTCCGTGGTTTCCATGTAATTTTTATCGATATCGATATTATCCCGATATTTCCATCGATATTTCCGTGTTTTCGGATTACCGATATTTCCGATATTACCGATATTTTCTTCCTTGCCTATAACAAGCATGTATACACAAAACAAGCTTGAATCCTGTTATCTTAACGGATAATGCATTACTTATAGCCGCAGCTACACATTAGTCTAGACTCACACGACAGTCGATACTCAAGATTTCGTTTAACTTGTAGACTAGAATAGTAAACCTCACCCTAATTTAACATCTGCTTAAATTCCCGATAGCCTCTCAAGCTGGATTAGTATGAATTCTCTGGTTACTTTCTTTTTGTCAACACAGTATTAATAGACTACTGGCATAATATTGATACATTATCAATACGATTTTTTTTAATAAGGATGCTGCAACATAGGAAACTGCGTCGGTGGTTCGGAGGCAAGCCTGTTTAGGGGATTCTGCTGTCGGGTCCGCCAGGGTGCGGGAAGACGACGTTGGCTCATGCCATTGCCAATGAAGCCGGCATTCGGTTTCGGAATATTAATGCCACTGAGGTTGTCTCTGGTGTCTCAGGTATGAATTTGATTGCATTTGTGAATGAATTGTGTGGAAATTATGTACCTTTGAAGTTTGAACTACTCTGTTAGTTACAGAAAGTGTTCTCTCAAAGTCCCAGTCTAACTTAGCCCAGTAACCGCCTAGTGTAGCTTAAGCTCCGTTAGGCATTAGACGGCTAACCACTGTTACAATTAATCTCTAGGAATTTACGAAGTAAGAAATGGCGCCTAAACTTGTTTAGGTGCTGACTAAGCCCGCCTAGGTTGTGACTCTTCCTTAGACAAAAAAAAATAGATAAATTCTATTTTATAAGAGACTTGTTAGATATTTGGATGAACAACCATTATATACTTGTTCCCTGTGTTTTGAATATGTACTTTATAATTTCTATACCATTCAATTTTGTAGTTTTGCATTTCAATGTAACTATATTTTTTTAGATATAAGTAGACATTTAAAACATGTATGCTGAATTAGCAAAAAAACCATAAAGGATGAGGATAGAAGGAATTTTAGAAAGAAAAAGTGTGGATGCACTTTTCAATAAAAGATAAGAAGCTAGCAACTGATGATGATTGAATATCAATGATAGTTATTGGAGTGCATAATCATACATCAATAGAGTATTTGGAGGGTTATTCACTTACTGGCAGATTATCATCGAAGGAGTCTTCGTTGTTGAGGAATTAACACTCAATTTTTTAGGAATAATAGTCAGTGGAGAAATAGTATATTAGAGGTTACTTTAGGAATAATAGTGAGAGAGGAAATGACATTTCAATTTTTTGACTTTTTATAGTCAATAGAGTATTTGGAGGATTATCCACTTACTGGCAGATTATCATCGAAGGAGTCTTCGTTGTTGAGGAATTAACACTCAATTTTTTAGGAATAATAGTCAGTGGAGAAATAGTATATTAGAGGTTACTTTAGGAATAATAGTGAGAGAGGAAATGACATTTCAATTTTTTGACTTTTTATAGTGGTGAGATTATAATGTGTGAGTGAGGAAATAAATTGGTATCAAAAGTTTTGCTTAAGTTGTATAAGAACACCAATAAGAATTAATCTTTCAAAGTTATTGCTTAGCTACCGAACTTGACATTGACAGCATGATAATATGGCAGCAAGGCTTTCGTAGACCTTTGTTATAAACCCTACGACAATGCCTCTGGAAGGAAGTTACCCACACAATTCCTAAGTTAATCCTATCCTAAATGGGCTGCCGGCTTGTCCTAATCCTAATTTCGATGCCTTCTGCCATCGACTTTGACATAATTTTGATGCACCGAGACGAATATATCTCGTCGACATTCTTGTCGGATTTGACGGCTTCACCTTTCTCTTTTAAAATAGTATTTAAAATATGGGACTTTAACGAAAAACTCTGGTACTGTACATTTTATGAAAAATCACATTTTTACATTAAAAAGTCAATCATGGTACTATTCACTTTACCATTTATTTTGTTTTTATCATTAAAACTCAAAGTTTTCAAACTGTTAGAGTGAAATTTCCTACAAGAAGAAATATCTCCACAGATTTGTTGACCGCAATCCTCACGTTCGCCGAATCCTTCTTCGAGATGTCCCAAAATAATCTTCCTCCGCAGTCTGGCACGAACCTGCCAAAGATACTCCGACGCTCAAGTCAACCGATTGATTTCTATTCTTTGGATTTTCTCGGGTACTCCTCACATACCTGGTTCTTTTGCTTCTCTCCTTATTTATAGGATTTTGTACTTGAGATTCAAGTACCACGATTGTCTTCCTTCCCCACTTCATTAGTGGTCATCGTCATATCACTACATGCTTTGGGAACAAGTCTCATGACCTGTCTTCCTCTCCCACTTCTCTTCCGTAGTGGGGTAGTTACCTCGGCACGCGCCCTTGTGCTTATTTCTTGTGGGCTTTTTATTTTGCACAACTCTTTTTCCTTAGATGATCGGCCCATGAGTCGAAATTAGGTTTTATCCTCCCACAATGCCCCCTTTTTTCCCTTTTTTACGCATGTAAAATAGGGAAAAACCAAGTTTTTCGATCTCATAAGGCCTTGAAACTGTACTCTCTAAGCCAAACTAAAACTTTAAGCATTGCCAACCTTGTGGGAGTTGCTTTTTCTAAAAATAAATTTTCGAAGAACGAACATTACGAAAGACGATTTACGAATGAACATTACGAACTCACATGAGGACTGACATCACGAAAGAGGTCTAACATTACGAAAGAAGATTTACGAACATTACGAAAGAGGACTGACGTCACGGAAGAGGTCTATCATTACGAAAGAGGATTTACAAACATTACGAAAGAGGACTGACGTCACGGAATAAGAGGATTTATGAACATTACGAAAGATGACTGACATGGCGAACGAGGACTGACGTCACGGAAGAGGTCTATCATTACGAAAGAGGATTTACGAACATTACGAAAGATGACTGACGTCACGGAAGAGGTCCATCATTACGAAAGAGGATTTATGAACATTACGAAAGAGGACTGACGTCACGGAAGAGGTCCTATCGTTACGAAAGAGGATTTACGAACATTACGAAAGAGGACTGACGTCACGGAATAGGTCTATCATTACAAAAGAGGATTTACGAACATTACGAAAGATGACTGACATGGCGAACGAGGACTGACGTCACGGAAGAGGTCTATCATTACGAAAGAGGATTTACGAACATTACGAAAGAGGACTGACGTCACAGAAGAGGTCATATCGTTACGAAAGAGGATTTACGAACATTACGAAAAAGGACTGACGCCTTGTACGTGTTTATTATATAGATCTCTATCCCATCTTGTCTGCACTCCTTCATTCACTTTTATCTGATTTACATACATATATATATATATATATATTTACATATATAAATATTTACCATGTGTGTTTCCTCCTCACGCATATAATCCATAATGCTAGGCTGCACACCTAGTCTGCACATCTAATATGCACGCCTATGTATACATATATCAATATATCAATATATATATATATATACACTGACACACTTGTTTTTCCCTCTCTTATATGTCTATGTATATTCCTGCATAAATCACATCCTTGGGCTACCTGTCTATCTATCTACATATATATTTTCCTGGACTTGCAGACATCACTTCCTTAACCAGACTACCTATACACACACACATATATGTATATATGTATATATATATGCACACATATCTGGGTACATTGGCATATATAGGCATATTTTTACACGCAACACAGGCATACCTTTGGTTACGACATGCAAATCTCTGCACTTACTTCTCATATACTTGCATATATCTCTACACATGTATGCGTATATATTTATATGTCATTACCTTGAGTTCCTCCATCCCTATTTTCCTTCACTTCACCTGCTCAGTTTCTTCACCAAGCCTTTTCGATCTTGACTGGGTCTTTTCCCATTCGATCTTGGGTTTTCTTTTCCCGCTCAATCTTAGATTCTCGATCTTGATTGGGTCTTTGCCCATTCGATCTTGGGTTTTCTTTTCCCACTCGATCTTAGATTTCCGATCTTGATTGGGTCTCTGCCCATCCGATCTTGGGTTTTCTTTCCCCACACGATCTTAGATTTCCGATCTTGATTGGGTCTCTGCCCATCCGATCTTGGGTTTTCTTTCCCCACACGATCTTAGATTTCCGATCTTGATTGGGTCTCTGCCCATCTGATCTTGATTCGATCATCATCCCTTGGTTTATACTCTTCAGCTTTAGACTTTGGTCTAAGATTCGAATAAAGTGCAACTTTATTTATCATACAGTGAAGAGATGTCAACAGACATCCAGGGACATCCCCTTTGACATGCAAGGAAGACAATAAGGGATTTACCCTTCAACATTGCTGGAAACAGAAATTTAAATACGGAAAACATAAACACGAGAAGCTAAATGTGGTACTTTCTCAAATGAATTGCCCTCCATAGGCGCGGCACATACTGACCTGTTTCTATGTGCCTGAGTTTATAAGCTCCATTTCCGAAAGCTTCAGTCACCTCATATGGTCATTCCCATATGCGTCCAAGTTTCCCTACATTCAAATCTTTTGTGTTTTCCATGACTTTTCTCAATACCCACTCAAATCTTTCGTGGTAGTGCCCGCTGGAGATGTAACAATAGTCGCGGTGGCCTGCTTTGATTGGATAAATTCCTCTTCCTCTAATCTGGTGATTCCATCAGCTCGGGCCATCACCTCCCTCATGTCCAGTGGTGGCGTTTCGATCAATGACCTACGCATCTTTGTTCCAGGCAACGCCCCTTCTCGGAATGCCAAAGACGCAGTGTGGGAATCACATTCTGCTAGGGTGGACATCTCTTCGGTGAACCTAGTCATGTAGCTTTTGAGGCTCTCACCAACATTTTGTTTGGTGTTGAACAAGATCGTAATATCTTTTCTTGGCCTCCGATTGCAGACATATTGGGATATGAATGCTTCGCAAAGCTCTGTGAAACTTCCAATAGACCTCGGTTTCAGTTGCCTGAACCAAGTTAACGATGACCCCGAAAGACTTGAGGGGAACAACTTGCACATTAGGGCCTCATCGTCTCCTTCAAGCGCCATTTGTTGTTAAAAGTGGTAAATGTGTTCGACGGGATCAGTTGCACCTTCGAATAACCTAAACTTTGGTTGGGTGAACTTGGCAGGTTTTTTAGCTTTCAGGATGTTCTCTGTGAACGGCGATTTGCGAATCCCTTTGGCTGCTTCCAAGGCAAGTTCTGCCAGGGTCTGGGGCTTGTATCCCTTCACAATCTTCTCAATTTGTTCTCGCAAATCAACATCCTTTACCTTTTTCGATCCTTTTCCCCTGTGATCTTCTTCGCCCTGATTTTTCGTCACTTCAACACGGTTACTGTATGGCGAGCTACTAGAGCTGCCCCCCTTATCTTCCTCTTCTGCACGTTGTCTCTTGGTGCCGGTTGCACCTTCTACTGTGTTTTTCGCTTCAGCCTTCTTCAACGCCTCCTCTGCTGTCTTTTTTGTTTCACGCAATTCCCTCGTTAGCCTTCTAAATTGTTCCATGGCGAGACAAGGTTCAATATTTTGGGATTGAGACCTTGCGTGTACTGATCGAGTCCTTGTATCTTCAGAAGGATTTGGAACTTCTTGTATGGATCCAGTCATGTTTATAGCTTGATTTTGTTGCGTTCCCACAGACGGCGCCAACTATTAGAGTGAAATTTCCTACAAGAAGAAATACCTCCACAGATTTGTTGACCGCTATCCTCACGTTCGCCGAATCCTTCTTCGAGATGTCCCAAAATAATCTTCCTCTGCAGTCTGGCGCGGGTACCTGCAAAAGATACTTCGACGCTCAAGTCAGCCGATTGATTTTTATTCTTTGGATTTTCTCGGGTACTCCTCACATACCTGGTTCTTTTGCTTCTCTCCTTATTTATAGGATTTTGTACTTGAGATTCAAGTACCACGATCGTCTTCCTTCCCCACTTCCTTAGTGGTCATCGTCATATCACTACATGCTTTGGGAACAAGTCCCATGACCTGTCTTCCTCTCCCACTTCTCTTCCGTAGTGGGGTAGTTACCTCGGCACGCGCCCTTGTGCTTATTTCTTGTGGGCTTTTTATTTTGCACAACTCTTTTTCCTTAGATGATCGGCCCATGAGTCGAAATTAGGTTTTATCCTCCCACACAAACCCTTTTCGTTAGTTTTCCTTTTAAAATATGGTATAAAGTGCGATATATGTCATCCATCAAATTCTTGAATCTAGATGATCAATTTAAGTGATTTGACGGCTTCATATTTCTCTTTTAACGGATTTAGGGGTATGTAATCAGGATTGTAAGTGATTATCTGAAATTCAATGTGTATTCAATCAGGATTTTAAAATAGTTTATTAAAATCCTTAAAAATCCGGGTGTATTCAATTAGAATTTTAAAGAAGTTTATAACATTCTAAGTGTATTCAATTAGAATTAGAATTTAGAGAATTTGGAAAAGTTGAGGAATTTGAGGGAATTTGAGAGATTTTGTAGTGTATTTTAAGTATCCACAAATCTCACATTTTCCCATAAGATTTCGAGGGAACTGAATCAAAATTTTATATAGAATCTCTACAAATCAGTTAAACTTTGTAAAAATCCGTGGATTTATAAATCCATTAAAATCTCTAAAATTCTCAATTGAATACACCCCCCAAAAGCACCTAAATCATCCCCAACCTCTTATTTCGACCGCATCCACTTAGGACTAACTCAACTTTGTGTCTTTGGATGGGCGGTCATGTGAACTGGTTGTTTGGACAAGAGAATTTCTCCTTCTAAGGGGACTTGATTGGTAAGGCAGTACCAATTATGGGAAATCAATTTCAAGTGACTGAAGCTAAGCAATCTTAAACTAGTCCATATCATTTTCGTTAATTGTTTTTAGCGGGAATTGGCCTTGTCCCCCCGTTTGTTTTACTTTTCCTTTTTTCTTCATATTATTAATAAAATCTTGTAGAGGGGGGACGAGCGGGGGGTTTCTGGGTGCAACGGTCCTTTCTTCTCTGGGAGAGGGTTGGTGCCTCGCACGCGACTGTTGATAAAGAGCTAATCTCGCCTAATCCATCTCTACAAAAAAAATAAAAAATAAATAAAATAAAAAATAAAAAAGGCAGTACCAATTATACCAGTATTATTTGGTCAAGCTTTTTCATCTGGTCAAGTTCTTGCTTCACTCCTTAAGGTGCGGTTTGTACAGAGACCATGTGCACTCCAAATCACAGAAGCAACATCAACGTAAGGACAGGGTTAATGCTTTTCACATTTTAGTACAACTGAAATTAAACAAACAGATGAAACAAGTGGAACATAAAATGCCAAGTTTCTCAGCTCTTTGCTTGTGCATCATATGTTGTGGTGTTATTTGGTTATATGGTTGTGGAACATGTGCCATAAAATATCAACCAACTCTTGCGCTTTTGGGCTTTCAAACAATCGAAAACGTTTTTTGGCATCGTTTGAGTAAAACTACTTCTTACATGAGCATTTTCAAAAATCATGAGCGAAGTGAGGAGAAATTTTTCAGTTTAGATGTTTGAACTACATGATAATCATTGTGAGGATGGGTCAATAATCTTAATAAAAACACTTTTGTTTTAAGTGATTACGAGCAAAAATGCTTCTCACGCATTCTTACTTCTTTGTCTATTGCTTGTTTATATAAGGTGTCTTATACGAGCGTCCAGACATAAGAATCTCTCAATTGTCAACGTAAAAACAGTACTTAATGATGTTAGCTCAATGACTTCAACACATACCCATCTTATCTCAGCTCCAAGATTTTGTGTAGTGCATTGAATCCATGTATCAAAATCACCACACAATTGACTTGTATTATTAATTACTTTAATATTTATTTGTCAAATGTGAAGGGATTGGACTTGGTCTAACCACGAGCCGGAGACCTTTCAAGGTACAAAGTCTACCCACAAGTCCTCCTTTGGCATGTTCTACAACTATCTGCAACTTACGTCTGGATTTCAAATATTTTCTAATATATTTCGGGATATTTTATGCTCTATTATTTCTAAGCTGTTAGATGTTTGGTTCAAAATATAATGACGAAGATATGATGATTAAAAACTTTGAAATATAACTTCAAAGCACCATATAATTTTCTTTTATTTCATAATAATAATGTCTGTCACTGTCTGTGGCAGTCCTACTTAGCATCAGCTTTGAACCTTCGCTTCATTGACAAGGAAGGTCACGAAGAAACCCTCCTCCTTTTGAGCGATGGAGATATCATATATTTAGATCGTGATCAACGTTCAGTCTGGCCATACTTTACAGTAACTTCATGTCTGGTGGCAACTTCAGGTCAGTAGAGTCACCTGAGACTAATGACTTTTCCGGCGACTTGAATTTTGAGTTTTCAGAGTACTTGATGATCCGCAAGTGGCTGGATGAGGATCCGAGTTTCGTAGGTTCGGAGTTTTCTGTCCAGAGTTCGGGTTTTCGAGCGAATGAAGTTGGTGAGTCTGGTGCAAGGAGCAGCCAACCTGGAGGGTCTACTATCAGTAAGCATATAAACACTTATGCGCGCGCACGCACACACATATATATTTCTTCTAATGCATATTTCTAGACGTTCCCTCCCTGACCCTCGCAAAGCTGAGAGCTTTGTTGGCTTGGGGTCACCTTTTTTATTTATCTTTTGTGTGTTAGGAGGAGACAATGGAAGCAGCCGGGAGAGGCAGGAAGCTAGAGAGAGAGTTGCATTCAAAACAAAATCAGAGGTTGAAATATTGGATGATGGGTTCAGGTGGAGGAAGTATGGTAAAAAGAAGGTGAAAAGCAGCCCTAATCCAAGGTAAAAGAAAACATATACAAAGTAAAAGCACGATTAACCGAATCGAATACAGATCTGTTCCTTTTCATATACAAAGTTACAAACGATCCTCTAAACTACCCTAATCTATTGGAGAGGATTCAAACTTACATGTAAGACGGCAGGCACACTGCTCTGCCCAACTTGCCTAACCCACATATACGATAACGTTTAGCCATGTTTAGACGTTTTTAATCTGATTATGTTATGTTTGATTGCAGAAATTATTACAAGTGTTCAGTTGGAGGGTGCCACGTGAAAAAAAGAGTTGAGAGAGATAGGGAGGATCCAAGGTTTGTAATTACAACTTATGATGGAGTCCATAACCATCCAGGCCTCTAATTTTTGAGCATTTTTGGAGTTTGGGGTCCTCGCAAAGCGGGAAGCTTCGTTGGCTTGGATCGCCCTTTTGCTGACCCCACATAATGGAACAAGGCTTGGTTGGTTGTTTGAGTTTACAGTTTGAAAGGAGAGTTTATCTCGTGTGTTAACGCCTCAATAATGTGACCTGTATTTCAACAACACTTTAAGCACTAGGAGTTTTTTTTATTCCAAATTTTTGTTCATCTATTGATTTGAACAAAGACTGCTATATCTGTTATGGAAATTATATATAAACTAATGTAATCGACTATAAATTTTCTATGCAAAATGTCTGTTCTTTGTCAGATGACGGATTCTGTTCCTTTAGCATGTCGATACATTTTGATATGGATGTGTTAGATGTTAATGTTATATACATCACATCAATAGTCTTTCCTTAAATAAAAAACGGACATCCTGCCCTGAGTAGTGTCATGGACATTAGAAAAGCATTAGATGTTTTCAGTAAGGAGACTTTCTAGGATACCCCGGAGTTTGAAATTTTATACTCTAGGTGTTTTAACCATTAAATATTTGTTTAAATATATATATATTTAACGGTTAAAATGGGTAAGTACTTAAAACAGCCTCAATTCCGTAGTATTTAGCTGAAGAGGGAAATGACATGAAACCTTCTCCTAACCAAAACCAAACTAACAGTCAGCGGCATAAACGGATGTAATCATTTTGGTTAGAGCGGATATAATTCCTTAGGTGCCCAAGTTCGAATTCCGCACCCAATTGAGATTAGTTAAAAAGTAAAATATCGTTTGTATAAAAATAAATCAATGCACATGAATCGGTTTTGTGTGAAGTATAATGCAACAGAATCTATAATTCACATAAAAACCTGTAGCTTAACATCTCTATTCTCACTCTACAAACAAAAGAATCTGTACTAGGAAACCACATCTAAATGTTACAGGTTTACGTGTGGTTTGATGCTTTCATTCGGAAATATAACATTCGGGTTTCGAACATGTGGAGCTATCGAATCCTTCCAGGTAGCTCCTGCACCTTGAAAATCAGAGGAAATGCTCCATAGAAAATCCCTCTGATGTTTTGCTGAAACTGGTGTGGATGATCTTACAATGGCTTTCGAGTTTGAGACTGGAAAACTAGCGGTCTTACCCATGCCTGCGCCAAGCAACCATCGGAAGCCAGAATGCAGTTGGGTTGTGGTACCCCAAAGCCGCCTGCTTCCAGGCGCAGTATCCACTCCTGCAAGATGGACATCGATGATTTTAAACTGAGGATTGCATCCTTCATCTCCTTCATTCGTCTCCCCTTTTCTCATGTCCCCAATCTCGTCAAAGACTGACTCATCGTGTTCGTTCTCTTTGCTATCGTTTAACAGCACACTTGACACCTCTGGCATTAAATTGGCCAAAACTCTCTCCACTTGAATTAGAGCAATCATTGGAATACCCACTGGTTCATAGTTTCGAAAGGGATCTCTAAGCTGCACCATGAGAGCAATTGTGAGGTTGTCCCCCAAAAGTCCACAGTTCCTACCAGATAAACCACTGCAGTTCGTTTCTTGTGTCAAATTTCCATCGACCAAATCTGTGTACTTGGCATGATGGGCAGCAAGGATTTTCAACAATTGCTCTCTGCTGTGATCTTCATCACTAATGATTTTAGCATCTAGCCTCAGCCACTCGTCCAATGGTAAAGACAGAGCAATTAATCCCTCAGCATCAACAACACAATCTCTAAAACCACATAGTTGCAAACCTCCAGACTGAGGATGTATACTTGAAGGTGCCTCCCCACTTGACATGCGGGACTGGATTCTTAACCCTTCCACTGCAAGAGCTTCAATTTTTTCCATTGCCAAAGGGGCAAGATACTCTAGAGATACGTAGTCTGACCCCACCTCACTACATCCCAATTCGGCAGAACTCAGGTTATGACAACTCCAACTAGAAGGAAATCCTTCATCCTGCCTCCCACGATATAAAATCTGCTCAAACCTGAAACAAGGAGGAGAATTAAGCCAACAAATAGAGAAATATTTGAAATCACAATACTTCAGATATCAATGTAATTGATGTGCTCACAAACCTCTCAGACACCACTATGTTAGGCGCTGAGGCCGCTGCCTCCCAGGCTACATGTTGTATTGTCTTCCCCGTAATATCTTCCAAAGGCATTAGTTTACTCACACACTCATGCAGCGTATCTCCAACCATTGCCAGATGCTGCACTATCTGGATAGCATCAAAACCCATTACTGCTGGTATAACAACGGGATTAGAAACATGAATCACCAAGTTCCCACCGTTTTTAGCATTTCTGAAAAGTGAAGGATTCATAGACTGCAAAATGCCTCCACCCTTCAACTTAACATAAGGACCAAAGCCTTCTCCGAGTGGAGGTAGGAGTGGCTCTTCAAGGGGGATCTCAATTGGACTACCAAATCCACCAGAGAAGGTGCGAGGAGAATTCCAAAAGTCCTTTTCATTTAATCCCCATTCTCGCATCAAAGCTTCAGTCTCCAAGCCTTCAAGAATTTTGGCCTTCCTTCTTCTTAATAGCTCACTTTCTTTCTTGTGCTCTTCTTCAGCGGCTTCAATAATCAATGACAAATCAGAATTCTCAAAGCAATCTCCAGAATCAGAACCTGGTGAAACAGAGGATCCAATTTCGGGCTGCTCTTCCTTCCAATCAAAATCAAAAAATAAGTTTCCCGAACCCAGTGCCTCTTTTTCAAACTCTCTTAAAAGAAGTTCTCTAGGAGACTCAGCATCACTATCAGAACTCATGCTACAGTTCATACCAAGGATGTTTAAGAAATCACTTGTCACGGATTCAGTTACATCGTCCAAACTAAGTGATTTTTTACCTGTTTTACTTGATTTGTACGTCAACTTAAGTTCCATGTGGTTCCTTTCCTCAAGAAACTCTCCCGAAGAAAATGGACGATCCAAATCTGCTGATTCTGAAATCAAGAGCATGTGAGTTACAGACTCCACCTCATACATGGCCGATCCCTGGGTGCAAACACTATCATGTTCATGTTTGCTGTCATCCACCACAACCTCGTCCACATAACTACCATGGGCTTCCTTTGGAATAACCATAGTCTTCTCCTCGAGGTCTATGTCATAACCATTAATGATCTCATCTACATTGATAATTTCAACTGCTTCTGACTCATCATTAGCATGACCGGGAACTTGATCAGATTTTAACTCTTCCATCTCAGACATTTCTGTCCCGACTTCTACAATGGTATATTCAGTATCGTCATCATCCTTGTATTCTTCAATTCCCTTAGCAAACAAAAAGTCTATATCAGTTTTAGGTTCAAGTGGCGGCACATGTTCACAATCTGACTCTGTTACACTACTCAATCTAGTCTCATCAAGTGTCTGACATAAGAAATTAATTGAATTGGAGAGCTCCAACCCTCCATTCAGCACTACTTCGCGAAAAATCTTCAAATCAAGAGACTGAGATGAGAAGGCAGGCTTGGGAGTTACAATGCGTGGCAAACTCCCAACTGGGCGAAGCATTGTAGCTCCACCGTCCAACGAACTTGACCTCCTTGGCCCCGTGTTCAGAAGCTCAGGAACATTTGGATTAGCCCTCACATTAATTAACTTATCCTGCATCACCAGAAATCCCAAACTAACATTTAGATTAGCACCTCTAGCCTTGCCTGAAAGGTTAAAGCTTGTTGTCCATTTACCACTTTTTTCCCCCTCCAACTCCTCAAAAGTAAGTGGTAACAGCCTCGTAAGATCAACCCAGTGTTTCCCGATGTCAGGCCCTGGCGCCCCACTCAAAGAAACGTAGATCAACGATAGCTTCTCCTCATACTTAACCGAATGGTTCGGGCCATTTCTACTTCCATACACAGAACACCTATGCATCAAGGTTTCATCAAACTCAGCTACGCCTTCCACAACCTTCGAAGACAGAGTCTGCAGCACCTCACCCTTCCTCTTCCAATGCACACATACACTAAGATTATTAAAACTCAGAGGCAACCCTTCAACAGAACGCACATGAAGGTAAAAACAACAACTAAATTTCCGATTCCCGATATGACTGAGAGCCTTCAAGGGCTTCTTCCAATTCCACACCGAAGACGATTTCTTGTCCTTGTGCAAAAAATCTTCCCTAACAAATCTCGGGTTCGAATCCGAAAAAGGGATTTTCCCAGCAGATTTGGATCTTCCATCAGAAGAGGAAAGCAAAACTTTCGGTGGGGGTTTATGAAAGTAAAGGGCTTTGCTTAGTTCTTCAATGTCACGCAACAACTCACCATTGCTGGAATTCCCACCACTGTAATCTTCCTTACTCTCAGTTTTCTGCAACATGATATCTTATCTTTGCATACAAATTAATCTAATTACACCATATCCAACCAAACCCACCATGGAAACTTGTAAATAATTCAACTTTTCTCTAAAACCCCCTACAGATGCTTTTGAATAACAATCCAAAAACTGGAACTGATTAATCGAATGAGAAATTCTGACAATATGAAAAAAACTGCAAATGTACAGTACCAGCAAGGACCGAGCGTCTCTTAGCCGGAGGAACGTCACTCGGGGTCTCAGCCGATGAACACCGTGCAGATAGATGGCTTGATCGAGCGAGCCGTGTGGTTGGTTTTGGGTATTTTCTCGGGAATCGTGTGAAGATTTTCCGGAAAAAACTTTACCGTGACGAATTTTAAAGGCGATTGAAAGTAGAAGTTTTGTCTTCTGTGTGTTGGACGGTGGAGTGATCAGAGAGTCGTTCCGGTAGACTGTTACCAGTTTGGCGAGGTTATAATGGTCATTGTATTTCGTGAACGATAATATGCTTTTGGATCGTCTAAAAAATAATGATTTTTCGACTTTCGTTTTCTTTTCTGTGTCTACTATCTCTTGTAACTAATGAAACTTAGGAGAGAGAAACAAAAAAATTATTGCATACGTAGAAAGATTAATGTTAGAGAGACTGTATTTTTATATCACATTAATTTATCACATGACTTGTTAAGTGACCTATATATGTCTCGTCAGTTGATGAATTTATCTGATTGAATGTTAGTTGTATCCATCATTTACCACATGTGAGTACATTAATATGATTTTAAAATATAATTTTCCTAACATTACTCGGTAAAAAACAATAGCGTCAAGATCACTACCATAATAATTTTAACCTTATATTTTAACTAAGATTTTACTTATCCTTATAGTTTCAAACGTAGCAATTTAAAGTTTCATAGTATGGTTAATTTTGTTCTTGGCAAAACATGTGTAAATATAAATCAATCTTTTTTTTTTTGGTCAAAATATAGGTTTGTTAGATTAAGAAGGAAGTTGGAGGGGTTTGAATCATTGTCGTGGTGCAAAAGCAACACTCCTCTGCACCACTGTAATAGAGGGTCACTTGCATGAATCAATCTTTTTAAGGATGTTAAATACCAAATAGACCAAAGACATTATCCTTGATTACGTCAACTAATAAAACTACATAACTTGAATTACTACAAGACCAAAATCATATTTCGGCCTTTATTTCTACTTGGGTGGGCATAGGTGGGCTCAAAAGTTGGACTTTCTAGTTATCTTTCCGTTAAAACCATATAAAAATAGGGGAGTGAAAACGCTATTGAAAATATTTTTAGGTTCTAAAAAAACTTGAATTGCTTATTACAATAAACCTTAATTATATGCTTCTTGCATAAAGCATTTTAAATATTTTTCCAAGATTCACACTTGTGTGAGAACTCAATTCGAGGAAGCTGAGAAAGCAGTGTTGGAGCTCTACCGCGAACGGTCGCGGATAAAAGATGGTCACACTGTTCTTGATGTTGGGTGTGGCTGGGACAACTGCAAAGTTACCAGGATCTGCAGCTCGACGACACAAAAAGCTTCCATAGAAGAGCAATGCCTGTGCGTAAGCGATTAATTCTTTATCAGATTGAGTCGCTGGACTATGTGCCGCAATATTGATTCAAGTTATTTTTGTTACAGTGTGTATGGATCTAAAGCTGCAGAATGTAGAGATGTCGTCGGAGATATCAGCACGTTTGAAACAGAGGCTTCCTGCTCCATAAAACCAATTATGGATTCAGCCGTGAAATGGACAGTATATTGGCCTACATTCTTCATTTCGGAGGCAATGCCAAAGCTCTGTTTGCGAACGAAGCAATGAAGCAGCCAAAGCTCTGTTTGCGTACAACAATGGACAAGAGTCGATGGTTGTTCAATTCCTATTCAATAAGAAACAAAGCAATGCCAATGGAAAATGAAGTGTAAAAGCAGTCAGCATTGCCAAAAATCGAAGTGCATGTTTGCTGTTCAAATAATGTGACCGTTGAGAAATTGTAAAAAGTATAAACCCTTCAAATTATCAAACAGTTTTGCTGGTTGATCACACAAAACTCCAACAGAAAACTAACCAAAAACGCACAATTTCACAGAATGTTGATGCCCAATGTTACACATTTCAGACCCGACTCGATATTCTCAGTTTTCGATTTCTCAAGGTTTTTTAACCAAATGGTCTTGAGAAGAAGTGGAGAGATTGATGAGATAAAAATACCGGATATTTTTCATAAAATAACCAAAATGATTGACAGTGTACAAACGACCACTTCTATCGAAGGCGACCAAAATGAGTTATCAGAAACCATTTTGACTAAAAAGCATTTCTCTAATTCATTCTTAGACTAACAAAAAGACTCCTAACCAAGACCGGCATTACTGTCTCCGCCGCTGCCGGTTTTCGTTAGCCACCGTCAGTGGTGGTGGAGTTCACATTGCCTTCAGCCTCTAAGAAGCGACTCAGCTGCTTATCTTCCAAATGTTCCTGGGCAAAACCAAAATTAAAATAATTTTAAAAACCCAGAAAATAAAATAAGCAAAATATTTATATAAAATTATTAATTGTGATTTGGATGAAAATTTGGGAGAAGGGTAAGATTTGGAAACGCACGGCAAGGCAGGCCTTGTAATTTTGCCACTCTGAAACGCAATCCTCCTTGTCCCATTGGCCCTTCACAAACTTCTTCGAGTACCACCTGCACACAGAGACAATACCCATTATACCCTTTTCAGAAAACGAAAAATGGATTTTAGAGAGGAGATGAGAGAGATTAGGGTTTAAGGGCAATAATGCAAACTAATTTTGTGCTGAGAGGACTTGGTGAAGCAATTGTGGTAGGCATCTCTGAGTTTTGCACAGGGAGAAGTGGAAGAAGAAGAAGGTTTCTTCTTGTTCTGTGAATCGGTGATGATCCCCATGCATCACAAACCGGCTCAGAGGCGGAGGGCGAAGACCGAGTTTTTCACTCTCTGATGAAGTGTTTTGGGCCAGTTTATATATTTCTTGGATAGATTTTGGGCCGTTTCGGAAGGAAGGGGAAAGTGTTGACTAGGCTGGACCTCATATTAATCCCATCATCTGTAGTCGATTCTTTTGAGATAATTATCTATAGTGAGTATTCCAAGTTCAAATTCTCTCTCCTCTCTTAGTGTAGTTTAGAGTAGAAATATTGTTTGGCGGGATAGATGACAGACAATAGACAATCTTCTTCCAAAAAAGACAAGATTAGAGATGACAAAGGAAGGTATTCAGTTCAAAAAACATACGACAATCAAGCGGAGTAACTTATTTTTATGACCGTAACAACGTTCCGTGGTGTTATCAGTCCCCATCTTGTAAAAGATCACACGAGATTCAAGTAATGGTTGCATTTTTCTTGAGAGAATACTAGTGCAATTATCTAGGTCTCTTTATTCTTTGTTTTGGCAAGTTCAAGTTACATAAGTCTGGAAATCCAGTCCCAGACATAGTACCAGTTTGGTACTGTTTAAATTTTTTTAAAAGCAGAGATGAAAAAAAGCTGAGCTCAATATTATGTTTGGTAACTCAGCAACAAAGCATTTATTTTCAAAATTGCTGCAAGAAACAGCTGAAAGGTGGAAGCAGCTATTTGCTGCTTTAAAAAACCGGCTTTTTTTCTTAGAAACACGGGTGAACGGTAATGTTTAATGAAAGTTTGCAAATGCCGATCCTACCTTCACCTCTCGTGTCGTCCTCTTCCTTGCTCTGCCATCTCACTGGTTCTCTCCCTCCCGTCTCACTCGCTCACTTCCAACTCGTCGCCCCAAACCCAATCCCCAACCTGAAACTTCATTCACAGCTTAATCTTTGAAATTACTCCAGTTTTTTTTTTTTTTACAGTAGTGCAACAAATGCAGGAGAGCATTCACACAGTCAAATCCTCTGCCTCACTTGGCCATGGAGTTAGCAAAAGAGCTGCGAGAGATTCAAACGCTACAGGGCCACGCCGATAGGGCATGGAGCCTCGCCTGGAATCCAGCCACTGGTGTCCCCGGAATCCCCCTTTCCTTCCATTTTTATGTTAGCGGGTCGGTTCTTAAGGGAGTTTTTATGGGTTGCAGGCAGTTCTGGATGAAACGCACACCAGAACCGTCCGATCGTGCGCTTGGTCCCCATTTGGGAAGTTATTGGCCACTGCAAGCTTCGATGCCACCACTGCAATTTGGGAAAATGTTGGAGGCGATTACGAATGTGTTGCCAGTCTAGAGGTATCCAATGGTGAAAGAATCTAGCTTTACATAAATTGGTAAATTATATTTAGTAATTCACATTTATTTGTTAAGAAAATTAAATTTAAGGCACATCTAATATTATACCATTTTTAGCCATTTCACACAATTACAGCTATTTTACATAAAAGTTTATCACACATTATAATACTGTTTTTTTTTTTCAAAAGCACTGCTACAAAAAAGTTTAACAAACTCTCTGCTGCTTTATTTCAACTTATTATCACAGTACAGCAGAAACAGTTTTTTTTTTTTTTAAATAAACGATACCAAACCAGCCCATAATCTTGTTAAAAAACAGACGCAGCCAAACATGGCATCCTAGTATTTCCGGTATGCCAACTCCGTCGCGACATCGGCAAGGTTTCTCTCGCTCTGAACACTCTGAACCCATTTGGCGTTGATTTGCACCCGCTCAATGCTCTGCTTCACTGTTCTAGTTATCTTCGGGTTTGGATGTGCTTTGAAGAACTCATCTACTTCCTTAACCTTGTCAAATGAAGCAAACTGCAGAGGAAGGTAGAAGGAAATAACAAGGTATTAGAAATCTAAGTTGCACAACAACAGACCTCGAGCATAAGAACGAAAGTTTCTAGAGAAAGAAAGAACGAACCGGTGAAACAATTTCATTGACAAAGCGAGGAATTAGTAATCCAGACCCCCAGGTCTTTGAGATGTGCTCCCAGTTATCCTGGTTTCGGATAATCCAAATGGAAAAATGAATCACAGCAGCAAATGTGGAAAAAGAAAGAAAAAATCCATGAACGTGGAAACATTTTGTAAAATGTCGTAAACTAGTGAGAGTTACCTTCATCCACTTCCATGCTGTTTCCCGACCTTCATTACTAACAGCGAGTCCAAATACAGCATCCTGACTGCGAACCTACATAGACGGGCATTAAAATCAGTATATCAAGCTTTGAGATTCTCAAAATTATTACTAATAAGTAAAACTTCAACCTACAATTCAGAGAAAGAAAATCTGAAATACCTCAGGAGTCAATATAAAGTGGAGAACTTCCAGTGTAATATTGGGATCGGGACAAGACGCTAAAGAACCTACAGGCACAGACACATCGATTACTGCTACAATCTAACAGCTTCATATGTTCAGCATTATTTTACTAATTACTTATATTTACCTAGAATGCGGGTTTTCTCCTGGCTTAGATCACTCTCTCTGTAGACTCTAACAAGAGATTCATAGCCTGATCGGTCAGATACACTTGTTCTTTGCATTACAGCCACATATGCTGCCTGCAACAATAGTCCATAATTAACATCAACGATGAACTTAAAAGTTTAATTACGTATGTGTAATTAATGATTTACGTCAAAGCAACCTTTCTAATGTCTGGGGGAAGGAGGGGCGTGTTTCTGTCTTCTATAAAGGCATGAAAACGCCTACTTGCTTCATCTAACGTCAGTTCATGACCAAAAACAGCAAGTGCAGTCAAAATTTCTCCTCTCAACATTGCATCTAAATGGCTTTCGCCCGGTTTAGGCTGCCAACCAAGCCTCCTGTAAAGAAATTCTATCATAAATGATAAACTTTGAACAAAATTAAAGAAAAAGATAGAAGCAAATCTTGTGTCCTGATAGTTTATCTACGTAGGCATTTGAGTTGTTAAGAAAAGAACAAGCTTACTCTGCAGAATACTGGAAAAGTCCAATAAAGAATTGTTTAATGTGATCCAGTAGTCCGGGTACAGCATCGGCTGCAATTCTTGCCAGATTATAACTTATCTGTGAAACATGAGGACCAGAATCAGACCAAGGTTATCAATGCAGTAACATAAACACAATGCAGGGGCGATCATTACAGCAATCAAATTTGACAGCACGATATACTCAAGTTCCTCTCTGTATGCACTCAACAAGGTAAGCAATGAAGCAAAAGACTGCTTGCGAGCCATTGATAGGGCAAAGGAATCATCCAAAATGCCTGTGAAAGGAAAAAAAATTGGTGAAAACTTTCACTATCAAAGAGATAAACAAGCATGCGTACGAAATGATGATTACCAAATCTGTCAGTTTCAGACAATTGCTTCTCTTCGATAGCGTTTCTAAGCGCAGCTGCAAGTTCATCCTCATATTTCACTCTGTAAAAACCAGTCTGATCCACATTGACTTTTATCCAACTGCATAAAGCATTGTCTTTGTTGCTTGTGCCTCCACATCCAGCCTTTCCTACTGAGCAACCCAGAAATTCCTTTATGTCAAGAGTTTCAGACTTCGCTTGTAGTAGGAAATTCTTGCGCACATCATACGAGCCACAGGATAATGTAATCGGCACAATCCATTGCCCATCGCCTTGGGAACCGCTTGAGTAGAATTGTGTCTGCCATACATTAATTTACTTATTCCTATTAGATCTTTGTTCGTTTCCTTGTACCGTGGAATAAAACCTAAACAAATGACTTAACAGCTTTTATGTGCATTAGAGCTTGAGAGGATTTTTCAGAATTTCATTTGATAACCAAACAACTTTGAAAGAAGCAAACATAAGGAAACCTGATTAAACTCCAACTTTTGATCTTTGACTTTGACAGAAATGACCGGGTAACCCTTCTGCTGTGTCCATGAATTCATTAGTTTGTTTACAGGTTCACCGGATCCCTCCTCAAGGGCAGCCCACAAATCTTCTGTCTTTGCATTTGAGTAAGCATGCTTTTTGATATATGAAGCAATTGACCTCTGGATGCATTAAAAAGTAGCATGCAATTAACTCTCTAACTTTTTTATATCATAGAAAATAAGATAGTTCCTTCAACCTTCAAGCACACTAGTTGACAAATCAAAGGACATACCTGGAAGACTTCAGCACCTAGATAGCTTTGTAGCATCCGAATAACAGTAGCACCTTTTTTATAACTTATCGCATCAAGTATTTCATCAATCTCAGCAGCATGATTGATCTCCACCTGGCCAAAAAGAACAGATTAAACCATAATAAACCAGAGAGACTTATATACACTAATACTCTCCAATAATAACGCCTTGAAAACTATAGTGGTGAATATTACTATTTAAAGCCTTCTGTGCAGATGATCCAGATTCGATGCCAGGAAACAGCAAACTTTAGGAAATTAAAATTAAAATGAAACCCAAGAAAGACCAAGTGCACGAATAAGTACCTCAATGGGGTGAGATTCTTCAAGCCCATCCAGCTTAAGACCAGCAGTGACTTCATTAAGAAACTGAGTCCATATTTTCCACTCTGGGAATAAGCTATCAGTAGCTAAATAGCTCACCTAATGACATTAAACTACTTATTTATAAGTACAAAAGCATGGAAACTAACAAGTATAACAATGATATGAAGTGATACCCATGTTGCAAATCCCTCATTCAGCCATAAATGCGTCCACCATTCCTTTGTTACAAGATTGCCAAACCACTGGTGTGCCAATTCATGTGCCACGGTAATCGTAACCTATTACCAAAAACCAAATAAAGTGATTAAACGTATCATTGAGTGCTAAAACTATACCTCCCTACCATATTAACCAAGATAATTCTGAAAGCAGTGACATTCAGGATGCGCATTTTACCCTTTGCTTGTTGGCAGCTGCAGAATGTTGTTCATCAAAAAGCAAAGCCATTTCTCGGTATGTAACTAAACCATAATTCTCCATGCCGGCGAAAGAAAAATCAGGTATTGCAACCATATCCAATTTGGGCAACGGGTATGGCACAGCAAAGTATCTGCAGAACTTAACATCAATGATTTCATATTAAATGGAATGTAATGCAGCATAAGTACAACAACAACAACCAAGTCATATCCTTATCCCACTAAGTGGGATCGGCTGTATGAATCCTAGAATGCCACTGCGCTCGGTTTTGCGACAAGTCTTCCGTTAGCTCCAAGTACAACATATCTTTTTTTAAAGTGTCTTTCCAAGTCTTCCTAGGTCTTCCTCCACCCTTTTTGCCTTGATGCTCCGTCTTATAGTCATCTTCCGTTAGCTACAAGTACAACATATCTTTTCTTAAAGTTTCTTAAAGTTTCTTTTATCTTCGGTTCACATGTCCAAACCACTTTAAACGATTTTCCAGTGTTCTATAAAACTAGCCTTGGGGCACACCTAGGCGCCCTTGGAGGCGGGGCTGCTGGGTTTTCGCCTTTGTTTTGTGAGGGTAGGCGTAAGGCAGTGTTGGAGGGCCTAGGCGGCTGAGGCACGCCCAGGCGTTCAATTGGGCGTTTTTTTCCTTCCAATTCCAGGTCTATTTCTACCGTTCCTCTGTGTGTCGTTCTAGTTTCAAGAAAGAAGAAAGAAAGTTTCTCTCTCCAAATCCTAGTGGCAAAGTCTAACTCTAACTCTTTTTTATGTTTTTGTTTTTTATTAATAGCCCATTTAGATTCTGCCACCTAGCATTTTGATTAGCCAAGATTTATTTCTCTTGAAATTTCCTATAACTACTCACTCGGCCATTATTTCCTTTAAATTCCCTATAATAATTGCTCCACTGAATCTTTATTTCATTTTAATTCCCAATAATAGCTCCACTTAGCCTTTATTTCCTTTTGAATTGCCTATAATAGCTAAACTTGGCTTTATTCCAAAGTATTATACTATATATAATTATATATGCAATATATATTAAGTTATTTAGGTCCCGTGAGGCAAAGCCTCACGCCTCATGCCTAGGCAGGGCTATCCATGGAACGCCTCTGCCTTTTCATACATTGATTTTCTCTCATCTTATCTTCAATTGCGGCCATTGCTACTTTACCTCAGATATATTTGTTCTTTCTCATATCATTCCTTGTGTGCCCACATATTTAATGAAGCATTCTCATCTTCACTACTCATTTTCTGCACGTGTTGCTTTTTGACAGCCCAACACTCCGTGCCATAAAGCATTGTTGACCATATTGCCGTCCTATAACATTTTCTCTTCAGCTTTAGTGGCATACGACGATCGCACAACACACACACTACACTCTTCCACTTCATCTATCCAACTTGTATTCTATAGTTGAGATCTCCATTTAATTCTCCATTATTTTGCAAGATAGATCCAAGATACAAAAGTGTTCACTTTGGTACTTCCTGATTTTCAATCCTCACCCTATCTCATCTGGACCCCCATTTTCACTGAACTTGCAATCCCTATACTCTATCTTTGACATTAGACGAAGACTTTTAGATTTCAACACTTCACACCAAAGGTTAAGCTTTGCATTCACTCCCTCATGCATTTCATCTATCAGTACTATATTATCTTCGAAAAGCATACACCAAGTGATATCATCTTGAATATGTCCCGTAAGCTCGTCCATTATCAACGCAAAAAGATAAGGACTTAAAGCTGAGCCTTGGTGTAACCCTATGGTTATGGGAAAGCTTTCATTTTGTCATTCTCTATCATACATATCCTTTATTGCTTAGATATATGCTACTCTACTTTTTCTTCTCTAGAATTCTCCAAATAATTTTTTTTTGGGACGGACCATGTCTTACGCTTTTTCCAAATCTATAAAGACCATGGCAAATGCTTTTTTTATCTCTATAATGAAAAGGAAAAAAAATCTAGAGAAACTGCTACATTAGTCCATCCATAACATGCATCAAGTGCAATTGTCAACTTGAATATGAATAATTAGTAACTTTTACACATACTCTGTGCACCATTCAAGTGTCTTGACAGCAAAGTGCAAAGCAAACTTCCCCTGGTCTGCCTTACCAACTTGACAATATACCCGCACTTTGACCCCTGTAACGACATCAAATGTGACATCAACAAGAAAAAGGTTGCACTGACATACACATGAAACTAAGGATGTTGTGTAGGAGTTTACCATCAGAAGTATGATCTTCAACGTAATCAAACAATCCAACAACAATGGCCACCAAATATGTAGACATAATTGGTGTTTCCACATATGAAACTGTCTTCAGATGTCCATTCAATTTTTCTTCTTGAATCGGCATGTTAGAAAGGGCTACTAGTTCAGCCGGAACACCATCAAGTGTTATCTTGAATGTAGCCTGCCAACCAAATAGCCAGCAAGTCATAAACTCTATATTTGAACAATTTAACAAGAACGGGAAGATTGATTTCTCATCTTTACTACCACCTTAAACAACAGATCTCTTTTTTCCTAGTCTCAAAAATGCATTTATAACAATGTATATCGAGAATGGTGTAAACAAAATCACTTGATCTTCTTCTTCTTCTAAGCCTTTTCCCACTAGGTGGGGTCGGTTGTGGGGGATGCAACACGAGGACTTCCCAGCAGGTCACCCATCCTAGTAATATTCTCACTCAAACTCGCTTAACTTTGGAGTTTAGATGGGATCCTGTACATGTGAGTTGGTATGATCGCATCCCAACGATTCGACGTAAGATAGAAGTGCCGGCTGTCGACTACCTGACAAGCTCCCCCCTCCTCCTTCGATGAAAATCAATATCTTAAGTCAACTGTGTGTGTGAGAGAGAGAGTAACCTTGCAAGCAGGTTCATCCCAACACGGAAAGCACCGCCTGGCATCAACGGGTTCAAACTGCGTAACTGCCATATTTTTCTTCTCACCGTTGTGCTCATATGTACTGCACGAAACAAATCAAATCTTAGACCTATCTATACCATTGGCACATGATAATACTGAACGAACAATCGAAGATAGACTGCGCAAAAGTTCCTGCTTTCAAAAACTACCTTCTGTAGAAACCCTTCATCTTGTCATTCAAAATTCCTTCAAATTCAATAACCAAAACTCCAGACCCAATCGGAAGCATCTCTCCAAACTCCAAAACCAAAATTCCATCGTCTTCGAACGTCTCGGCCTTCGAAGGCTTGAAAACCTGCTCAAACATTTACTCATTCAGTAAAGACACAAGTAGCCAAACAACGCACTAAATGAATTCCAAATAATCTTTCCATTTCCTACGTTATCCGTGCAGCCAAACAAGGCAGTAAAGTTGACAACGTTACAATCATCTTATCAATTCCAATCCATTCACTTGCCCACAAATCATGAACAGAGCAGTAATTAAACCAAAATTAAAACTAATCAACGATTGATTAATTGAACTTAGACTTATTAATCGAGTATTAATTAACAAATCAACATAAAAAGAATGAAAATTTTCATCAGCCAAACACCTCACTCTCCATTCTACTTCTTTTTTCAGTCTGTTCTACAAATTTGAAAAGCAAACGCTCATCGATTACCTTGGACGACCCGCCGTGAGCGAAAGAGACGGCGCCCGCATTAATGGAGAGCTCGGCGGCGTTGAGAACGATGAATTTGGTATCGGCGACGATATCGAGGTCGATGTCGACGGAGCCGCCGAATTTGCAGGCGACGAGGTCCGGCTTCAGCCTTACGTCGTAGCGTTTCGGGACGGCGAATTTCGGAAGCCGGGGCTGGCCTTTAAACTGCTCCATAGCAGCGACGACGAGTGTGATACTTGCGAGCTGCGCGAGAGTTTATCGAGTTCAGATTTCGGAAGTGTGCGAGTGGGACTCATCAGTTGTCGCCATTTTACAACTTGCAACGTACGGGTCTTTCCTGAGAAAATTTTATACAACGACTATTTATGGATGGGGTGCGCTATCACACACTTTTTTTTTTTCTTTTTCTTTTTTTTAACTTTTAACACTTTGTTAATTTTTGTTATTTCATCATTTTCAAATCATCAGATGGCCGAAAATTAAAAGAATATGTAGGAAGTAAAAATAAATGTGTAGATAATTTTCTACATTTTTTCCAACTTATTTATCCTAAACATATGATCTTTTTTTTAAATTTAATTAAAATGCTTTGATGAATTGTCAACTCAGCAATCTTCTATTTATTTAATATTGTTTGGACCCGATTTTACATTATCGGTCTAAGCGATTGAGATCGTTGAGTGAGCATGGTTCTTGACCGCCGGATAAGGAAGTTAAGATATTTTGTTATTGTTAAGAGATAATATTATCATAATAATTATTTTTATCTCGGTTTTCTTGTACAAAATAAGTGGGATTCTCATTATCTTTAATGAGAAGCAGTAACAACAGAGTTCGGATTAACTTGAGTCTCCTGGCTGTAGACGTGTTGATTGATAGGAGATCATCACGAGGGATTTAATATCATCTAAAGAAAATAATAGTCATGGATAATGTTAGCATAGGAAACCTAGGTAGACTAGGCTTTTTGTTTTGCTTGGTGATGGATGTGACAAATGGGTTTGAAATGATAAGGGTGCTTTGAATTTTCAAATTCTCTTTGTGAAAGTATGGACACAACGAAAGGAGGCTGGCAAGCTTTTTGGCATAATATATTAAAGATAATATCGGTTGTTTTGATATTATTTTTTGGAGTATATTCGGGAAAATATTGGATAGGTGATCATGTAGGCTTGGCTATAAATACAAAGTTGCAGATAACGAAAAGACTCTCTCTAATTCAACATACAAATTGCTCTGCACAAACTCTCTCAGCAACCTTGAGATTTTTATTTTCTTTTTTCGCCAACACATCTTCAGTTTAGATAAACAACATTGTGAAGGCAACCGGTGATACCTTTAGTTTGGACAACAATATCGTCGTAGAACCAGCCGACCGCGGAACACCTTTAGTTTGGATAAACAGCAATGCGTCGAGGCCAACTAGTTATCTATCCAAGTCTCGGTTGAGAAAGACTTTCGGGTCTATATTGGCAGAGGTCATCTCATTAGCCTTTTAGGCGAGGTGAGGTGTTAAAGTTTACTAGGGCTCGGCACATTGAACGCCGAGGTGTTTTATGATTGGATACTCACAAGTCAGCTTTAGAGTTCGGCATTCTGACAGCCGAACCACATTTACCATCAAGACATATATCTGTTTTGAGTATCCGTGCCCCTATACTCTGGTGTCGATTTGGCGTGCTTATATTCTTACAAATATAATCACTGTGACCGAATTTGGCGCCGACGATTTGTGAACTTCGCAAAATTAACAGCCTTGTCTTCAGGCTCTAAAACCCAAAACCCAAAGGCCGAGACGTGTTCCTTCCTCGACCACAGTCGCAAGATCAAGAAGTCGGCCGAACGCTCAAAGCAACATCAACACATTTTACTCCTCGACCGAGCTCGGCCGACAAGTTGGCACGCCCCACATCAACCGAAGAACGTCTCGGCCTTCGTAGGCTTGAAAACCTGCTCAAATATTCATTTACTCATTCAGTAAAGACACAGGTAGCCAAACAACGCACTAAATGAATTCCAAATAATCTTTCCATTTCCTACGTTATCCGTGCAGCCAAACAAGGCAGTAAAGTTGACAACGCTACAATCATCTTATCAATTCCAATCCATTCACTTGCCCACAAATCATGAACAGAGCAGTAATCAAACCAAAATTAAAACTAATCAACGATTGATTAATTGAACTTAGACTTACTAATCGAGTATTAATTAACATATCAACATAAAAAGAATGAAAATTTTCATCAGCCAAACACCTCACTCTCCTTTCTACTTCTTTTTTCAGTCAGTTCTACAAATTTGAAAAGCAAATGAACATCGATTACCTTGGACGAGCAGCCGTGAGCGAAAAAGACGGAGCCCGCATTGAAGAAGAGCTCGGCGACGTTGAGAAAGATGAATTTGGTATCGGCAACGATATCGAGGTCGATGTCGACGGAGCTGCCGAATTTGCAGGCGGCGAGGTCCGGCTTCAGCCTTAAGTCGTACCGTTTCGGGACGGTGAATTTCGGAAGTCGAGGCTGGCCTTTAAACTGCTCCATAGCAGCGACGATGTTGAATTTTGGATGTATATTTCATATCAAAATAATTACAAGATGAAACATATATATAGGGAAAGAAAGAGAACATAAGCCTAACTTGCCTAACTTGCCTAATTTCCTAACTTGCCTAACTTGCCTAATTTACACAAAGAATGTTGACTAGCCTAACTTCACTAGTCATCCAACATGTTTATTTCATGCATGCATTTTAACAAAAGATATGACTTGGAACATGATTGATGCTTATTCCAATACTCCCCCTCAAGCTGGATCAATGGGGTCCGTTGAGCCAAGCTTGAACAATAAACGCTGAAATTGAGTCGTAGGGAGGTTTTTCGTAAAAATATCAGCCAACTGATCATGGCTACGTGTGTAATGAGTGTTAATAACCTTCGATTGAACTTGTGCTCGAATGTAATGACAATCAACCTCGATATGTTTAGTTCTCTCGTGAAAAACTGGATTGGAAGCAATGTGCATAGCAGCTTGGTTGTCACAAAACAAGGACATAGGCTGATTGCTTGGAAACCCTAAATCTGATAGAAGACATTTTAGCCAAATCAGCTCACACGTAATGGATGCCATTGCTCGATACTCAGCCTCAGCACTTGATCGAGCTATGACGCTTTGTTTTTTGCTTCTCCATGTAACCAAGTTTCCACCCACAAATGTGCAAAATCCAGTGGTTGACTTACGATCAAGAGAGTTGCCAGCCCAATCAGCGTCTGTGTACCCCATGATGGTAGTGTTACCATTCCTTTTCATCAATATACCTCGACCAAATGAGCCTTTGAGATAACGAAGTATTCTTTTAACAACGCATAAATGAGCAATAGTGGGTGCATGCATGAACTGACTGGCAATGCTTACGGCATAGGAAATGTCAGGACGTGTAATTGTGAGGTAAATCAACTTCCCAACTAACTTTTGATAATCAGTGAGATTGGTGGGTGCCTTACTTTGCATGTCGAGCTGGAATTTACTGTCAAGGGGAGTCCGAGCAGGCTTACAATCCACCATATCAGCATCTTTTAGAAGGTCAAGAACGTACTTCCTTTGATTTAGAAAGAGCCCTTTTTGAGATGTGGCCATTTCAATGCCAAGAAAATGCTTGAGAGTTCCCAAATCTTTGAGAGCAAACCGAACTCGGAGGGCATGCTTGAGAGAATTAAGTTCCTCAATATTATCACCTGTCACTATGAGGTCATCAACATAAATCAAAATAACCAATTTGCCTACTAAACCAATTCGAACAAACAGTGAGGAATCAGCATTGCTTCTGTGAAAGCCAACTTCTTCAAGTACTGAGCTAAGTTTTGAATACCATGCTCGTGGAGATTGTTTTAAACCATAGATAGATTTATGAAGTTTGCACACCATGTCAGGATCATGGAATTGAGGGTGACCTGGGGGCAACTTCATGTATACTTCCTCTTCTAGCTCACCATGCAAAAATGCATTCACATCCATTTGATATAAAGGCCAAGATTGATTAACTGCAACGGACAACAATACTCTCACTGTGTTCATCTTGGCAACTGGAGCAAAAGTCTCTTTATAATCCACTTCATATGTCTGAGTAAAACCACGAGCCACCAAGCGAGCTTTATGTCTCTCAATAGTTCCATCAGAGTTGAACTTTGTTTTATATACCCAACGACTGCCCACTGCCTTTTTTCCTTGAGGAAGCTTAATAACACTCCAGGTTCAATTGTCATGGAGAGCTTGAAGTTCATTTTTCATAGCAGTTTTCCAAATATCATGTTCATTTGCTTCTTGAAAGCTTTGTGGATCATGAGTACCGTCTAGGGCACTGAGAAAAATAGCATGAGAGGCTGAACATTTTTTGGAAGTGACAAAATCTGCAAGGGGATATCTTGTAGTATAGGTAACATAATCAACAAGCCTAGATGGAGGATGGCGATCTCTTGTGGGATTTCTCTGAGTTGGAACTTGTGGTGGAGGTAGTGGCTCGGAGACTTGAGATAAGGATTATGTATGTGAGCTTGGAGTGTCAGTCCCTGCTACTTTTTCTTGATAAGAAGGGATGTTAGGTAATGGAAAGAAATCATGCAGAGACTCCCCCTGATTTGTATCACCCACTTTATGTGTAAAGTAGGGAGTTGACTCATTGAATCTAACATCTTTAGACACTACAAGCTTCTTGGTGACTGGATTATAACACTTATACCCCTTTTGTGTAGATGAATAACCCATGAACACGCACTTATTAGCCCGAGGATCAAGTTTGTCACGATGAGTAGGTTGAGTGTGAACAAAGCATATACACCCAAAGACCTTTAAGTGAGATAGGTCAATCTTTCTCTCCTTCAACATTTCATAAGGAGATTTGAAACCTAGCACTTTACTAGGGAGGCGGTTGATGAGGTATGTAGCAGTAAGTACCCCTTGTGACCAAAACTTCTTAGGTACATGCATATGAAACATGAGAGCTCTTGTCTTCTAAAGAAGGTCTCGATTTTTTCTCTCGGCAACCCCGTTTTGTTGGGGAGTACCGACACAACTTGTTTGATGAAGAATGCCATGGTTGCTCATATATTGTGACATATTATTGGACATATATTCAGTGCCATTATCAGATCTTAATATGTGAATATTGGATGAGAATTGAGTGCTAACAAGTTTATGGAAATCTTGAAACACACTTGTAAATTCACTTTTAAACTTTAAAAGGTACAACCAAGTGATCCTTGTAAAATCATCCACAAAGGTTACAAAATACCTATATCCATCAAAAGACTCGACAACTGGTCCCCAAATATCTGAATGAATGATTTCAAAA